GTAATTTGTATCGAATATCTGTAGTCTTGGTCAAGTTGAGATATGTTTTGGTATACAGAAGATCACATCACACCGTCTCTTGTTCTTCCAAGTCTTAGGCATCAAAACGCCTGTAATCACCCGCTTCTGTATCCATTGATCCAAACTTGGCTCCCGATGAGGAAGCGGCATCCCAAGTCGTCAGAAGCATCTCCTAGTCAAGAGATTGATAAGGAGGATGTTCTTGACAAGGAGGTGAAGACACCTGTTATTAGATCGGGAAAAGTATGGATTTCACTCTTGATTTTGATCTCATACTCCTCCTGGGCTGTTTACAACCATCAGCATGCGAATTTACCTCATCCCTTGACCGCCCAACAAGCTGGAAAAAGAGGTTTCTCTGAGATTGAAGCAATGAAACATGTCTCGGCTTTGACTCAGTTTGGTCCGCGTCCTGTTTCTTCTGATGCTCTTGTCCTCGCCACTCAGGTTCTGTTCGAAACAGATTTCTCTCAATGGGTTCTTCTCACAATCCATTCTCTCAATTTCAAGCCATTTGTATTGTTCTATCTTTGCAGTATGTTTTGGCAGCAGTTGAGAGAGTTAAAGAAACTGCTCACCGTGAGGTTGATGTCAATGTTGATTTCTTTGAATCTACATCTGGTGTAAATACTCTGGTCGGTGGTCTTTTTAAGGGGAAGTCACTCGTGTATTCAGATATCACTCACATTGTACTAAGAATCTTGCCAAAATATGAACAAGATGCAGGAGACAATGCTATTCTTGTCTCTTCTCACATTGATACCGTCTTTTCAACGTATGTTGGTTTAGGTTGTTTGTTCCTATTTTCTGTCATGGCCATATTTCGAGTATGATGTGTGTGTCTTTGATTTTGTCTGTCAATCTGTCAAGTGGTGGGGCTGGAGATTGTAGTTCATGTGTAGCTGTAATGCTGGAACTAGCTCGGTCTGTTTCCCAATGGGCTCATGGATTCAAGAATTCTGTTATCTTCTTGTTTAATACTGGAGAGGAAGAAGGTCTCAATGGCGCTCATAGCTTTATAACTCAGGTAATATTTCTTGTATCATCTGACCTTGTCATAGACTCTCTCCCTCTCTTACTTTAATCTGCTAAATTGCCTTAGCTCCTGAACTTATTATAGTTTCTGTCTCACATTGTACACTACTGATGCAGCATCCATGGAGTTCCTCAGTACGTTTAGCTATTGATTTAGAGGCCATGGGTACCGGAGGAAAGTCTGGTATATTTCAGGTATAATCTTATGCACAATTGCTAATATAAATTCTACAAAACATATCTTAGAAAGTACAATTTCTCAATGTTTCCCTTTAACCCCTAGAGCAAATATTGACCATCTGATTGTTGGAAATGTCCTCTGGATGTAGGCTGGCCCGAATCCATGGGCTATTGAAAACTTTGCGTTGTCAGCAAAATATCCATCCGGTCAGATCATTGGACAGGTATGTACTTTCTACTGATGTTTCTTTCCCCCTTTACTGGTATATGTACGTCTATATGTAACTGTTTTACTATGACAGGATCTTTTCGATTCTGGACTCATAAAATCTGCTACTGATTTCCAAGTATACAAGGAGGTTGCTGGTCTCTCAGGATTGGACTTCGCTTTTGCAGATAATACTGCTGTCTATCACACCAAGGTAATTAACC